TATGCCAAAATCAACTTACACAAATAACACAGTCTGATATCTGCCTCCCTGGAGCGTTCTCCTTCTCCCATCTTCCAACAACCAATCACCACACACCCCGTCCATCGATATTGCGTTGACCTGTTTGTTCCAGTAAGCTATCTCTAAGACTGTCATCTGGTTCTGTTCCTCAGCTGACGGTATCGAACCTCTAGCTCACACGTCACCATGGGGCCCCCTGTTCACCCTCAGGCGCCGCGCGAGCCGGGGTTACCTGCCGACGAAGAGATCGCCAACTTCAACCTGACAGACGTATACGCAGTCCTGTCGAAAATCGAGAGCACCGACCAATACATCGTGGCGTGGGAGGCCGCAGCTGGCAAAGGCTCCGCGGCGAACATGCGACACCGCGAAGGCCGCCGACTGCGGTACAAGCTGGACGACAAACGCAAGGTGCTGCGCGCGGCCGCCAACGAACTGTCAAGGGACCAGATTCGGCGGCTCACCATCCTCGAGATGCCCCCGGAGGTGCTGCTCAAGGCCTTCGAGTACTTCCGCCATCCCGGCGTGGAACCCGGGCTGGTCGGGTGGTCGTGGCCGGAGCTCAACGCCAACGAGCACTCGTACCAGCGCGAGCGGCAGAACCTCTGCGACGCGCGGCTGGTCTGTCGGGCGTTCGAAGCGTGTGCCTCGCCCATCCTGTTTTCCTTTGTCGCGGTGAGCCTGTCGCAGACATCGCTCGACCGGTTCGTCGCCCTCTCCCGCTGCCCCGGCCTGGCGCGCGCGGTGCGTGGCGTGCTGGTCAGACTGCCCTACCGACCCCCCGAGCTCGCCGCCGACTTTGTCCGGTTCTATCAACATCGCTCGAGGCTCGAACCGTATGCTCACCTGGCCGGTCTGACGATGCCGGAGCATCGCGCTGCGTTCCTCCGGGCCCATGCGGGGTATGGCCGCGCGCACGAGGAACAACACCAGCTGATCGCCAGCGGTGACTTTGTGCGAACGGTGACCCAATCGGTGGGGAGAATGCCCAACGTCATCACGCTGGGAGTGACGGATCGCGAGAATACCATCATGGATTACGCACGCTACGTGGAATATGAGAAGGAAGGCCAGCCCGAGCCCGGCCACCTGCACACGCGCCTCCTCGATCCTCTGCCCTGGAGACACACCGAGCACCCGCCGGCAAGGATCCTCTTCGAGCTCCCCGTCGCCCTCCAAGCCACCGGCTGTGCGCTGCAGCACGTCTCCCTCGACTCGCTGCGACTCGTCGACGCATTCCCGTCCGCCACCGGCCCCGACCTGGGCACCCTGGATTCCTTCTCCCAGCTCCGCGCCGCCTGCCAGGACCTCCGCAGCGTCAGCATCGGCGATCCGAACGAGTGGTGGGCGGGCAGCCGCGGGGAGCTCCTGGCCTTCGACCGGGCGGCGGCGACCGAGTACCTCCACGCGCTGCTGTCCAGCCGGCGTGTCGAGCGCGTGCAGATCGCCCTGCGGCCGATGCTGGGCCCGGATTCCCAGTCCTTCGCCCACGAGTTCGATGTCGGCCCGCTGGTCCGCCGCGTGCAGTGGCCGTGTCTCCGCGAGCTGTCCCTGATGTGTGTGGTGATGGCGGAGGACGACCTGCGGGAGTTGCTCGCGCACCTGGAGAGCTCCTCCCTGCAGCGAATCAGCCTGGCCTACGTGCACTTCCGCGCCGGCAGCTGGCCCGATCTCCTCGACACCTGGCGTGAGGCCGTGCGCGAAAATCGCTACCGCCACCCGCTCCGCGTCACTTTCAACTCCCCGTCCGAGCGTGAGAAGAGCTACGACTACGCGTTGACCTGGCAGCGGGCGGCCATGTACGTCGTGGGGGCGCCCGGCGTGTTCAGTAACCCTTTTCGACCCCGTAATGCATGGACGAAGATTGATAGCGCAGATGATAGTGAGTAGTCATTGATGATTTGAGGCGTGCTGCTGGTTGGAATGGGGAGGAACTGTCTCAAGTCTGGACTTTTGCGTTCGGTGGTCATGGCCGTTTTATGCATGTCGATAACTCCTGGTCAAGGACAGCTGCTATGCTTGCTGGATCTGTCCGCAAGGCTTTGGGGAGTGTTCAGGCTAGTGGCACAAATCTCTTTTGTATCTAAAGAAGGTAATCAGAATCGTACAGTCGTCACCTTCAAACCCCTCTTGAAATATTTGGTAGTCTTCCATAAGACAGTCTCACGGTAAGGGAGCAGCTGATTCCACATCGATCTTGTGAACCGTACCAAGAAAGCACCAACCAACTACAGTCACGGATATGAACGCAGGGATGAGAAACTGTAGAGGTGTGTGCTATTGGCTACGAGCTCGCCATATATCTACCTCCAGGCTGTGTTAAACCTGCACTTATTCAGACAAAACAGTTATCTCCATTCGATAACACCCACAGAATTGGACAGTTATAGACACTAAATCAAGCCTCCAGCTATGCATAGTAAATCAAAGGATTATGACATAACTCAAGTCTGTGCAAAGAAAAGAAGGAAGAAACAAATTCCCAATTTTGTTCACGAAGACATCACCATTAGATAAAGATTTAGCCCAAAATAAGAGGAAAAGAAAAAGAAAAGGAAAAAAAGACACACAATTTTGTTAAGGACAAAACTACAGCCTCACCGCCAGCACCGTTGACCCCTCTCCACAACACCTACATCTCCATCTGGTCCTTCCCACATCTGGAATGTATCAGCTCCAAAATCCCTGCTCCAGCCACCGACCCAACTCACGAGCAAACCTCACTTCGGGACACTGCAATACCAGTAACTCGCACCGGCATGAACGACCCGGGACTCGCACTTGGTCTTATGGGGACAGTCGCAGATCCAGATGAGCTTAGGGGTCTTGACCTGACACAGCGCGCCCAGCCCGCCGCAGTAATGCTTCTCGTCGGCGGGGAAAGAGGTAGAAGCCTCCTCGTCGTCCTCGAGGATTTGGATCTGGAGCGGGTTGGCGAGGATGCAGGTGAGGAAGGTGGGGAGGAGAAGGAGCGGAGCTGAAAGTCTCATTTTGTTTGATGGGATGGATATCAGTATGATACAGTGGGCTTGGAAGAGGAATAGTCTACTAGGAAGTGTTGAAGGGTAGAGGTGGATAGTCGGGCAATGTCTGAAATTTATGTTCAAAGCTCATGATCTATTGCTCAGGAGGAGCAAGCGCAACCAGACTACAGAAAGAGTTGCGTCCATGATGCTTCTTAGTCACATTCGTCCCACCGTGAGGATTGCTTATTTTGTCATACATGGGTTATCCCAGATCCTGCCCGTTGAGAGCGGAGATTTGAAACACTATCAACAGCCGCCCAGGATAAATAAGCATCGGATCCGCTCTGCCGATTGCCATCTTGTCGGGGCTTGGTTAAATGCTTGAAAACACACAGACCCGACGATCGTCACCCCGGTCGACCCGGTAAGTTGGCCCACGGTGAGGATGTCCGAATGCTGACCCCCACACCCTACGGAGCAATAATTGACGATGGTCATGCGGCTGACGACACATGCTGCCCTGTATGACATGGGTCATGGCTTGGGATGCTCGATCTGCCGCGTCAAGGTCCTAGCTTGCAGATCCGTACGGGAGAGCTAGGGCCAAGAGTTCGGATTTGGCATCGTGAGCCAAGATAGCTCAAGAATCACGTTACATGATTAAGATTATCAAGGTAGTGATCGCCTGCTTCAAGGATACCCTCGAAAGAGCGACAATCCAGCAGACTTACTACCATCATCAGCGTCAGCATTGCCACAAGCGAATTGTGTGATGGTCAAAAGATCGTGAGACAGAGAGATGGTCATATTGCGGGCGCAGCGATGGGTGGAGCATCACAATATACGCCTGGGGTCCACTGTTCGTGTCAAAGGCTCATCCCGACCTTCGTGCCAGCTGGACTGAGACAGGTCCGGGCTTGGCTGGGTGATTGTCTGCAGAGGACTGGCAAGGAAAAGTGACAGGAGAAGTGACAGGCCTCCAACGTGTGAGACCGTGTGAGACACGGCATCCTTCGGAAATTCCGGGCCACCGCTCACATTGGATCAGTTCTGCCGGGGCGATAAGCGATAACCAAACCAAAACTGCAAGTGGTCGTATAATTGGCTCGGGAAGATTGGCCCATTTGGATGTTCGCCCCACGTCCGACTGTCCGTCCGTCGCCATTCCCGCCTGCAATGGCAAATCACACAGAAGTCGATTGTAGAGAACCTCCCGCCGTGGTTGGGGTTGCCAACGCATTGAATTGGCTGTGATAACGCTGCTGTGCAGGTAGTCGTGGCTGCACCTTGACCATAATGCCTATTATTCCCATCCACCAATCGGTAAACTAATATTCCGATCAATTTAACCTGGAATGACCGCATTCATCGGCCAACCAGCAGCCAAAACCCCTGAAAATAGCATGGAGGCACGCGACTCCAGTCGAGGCTTGGCCTTGCTGAGCGCGAGCTTAGCAGTCTAATGGGGGGAATCTGTGGCCCCCCACTTCCAATATCAGTGAGCGAGCGGGTGGAATACGAGGTTTAAGACACCCCTAAACTCCCGTGCACTATGATAAGTTACTACTAACTAGTCTATCGTGTTCTTAGGGCTGGACCTGGTTTGCTCAGATTTTGCTCGACCCACCGCAAATCTCCCAGCAGCGCCGCTCGGGAAAAGCCTCAGCACTTCAGCCCTAATTTAGTGCTGATTGAATTCCAGAGATCAGCTGTCTGCGGGCCCCCCCCCTATTGGCTTTGGCTGTGATCGCATTCAAGGAATAAGTAGACCCCAGGCCCCATGGCCCCCCTGGTTCAACAATGCAATGGATCGACACCAGCCCTGAAAGGCTTGAAGGGCAACGTCACCTTCCCTGAGCCCCCCTCTTTCTCCCAGGCAGAAACAATTCGATCTCTCGGACCGAAGCAGACGCGCCTGCGCACAAGTACCCGCTGCCCGCCCATGCGTTTCCGACCTGCAGCCTCATCAAGATGCTGGCGTGGTCAGAGCCCAAGCTGCTGCTGTCGCAGAAGATGAGTCTCCTAACGACGACGCTGCTCAACCCCCGCAACTTCCGACTCGTCATCGCCGCTCTGGCAACGACCTGCATTCTCTCCGTCCTGCTCTTCTTCCCCCCGGGGTCCCAGATCTCCACCACTTCCCTGGACGTCAAACCAGCAGCGGGGACATCAGCCCTCCAAACCAGCGCCGTCCCCTCGACCTCAACCGTCGCCGACCTCACGCCGGCCGAAACCGCCCTCCTCACCGACCTGACGCAGTACTTCGCCGACCACCCGATCCAAAAGCCCTACAAGGAGAAATACGGCGAACTAGGCCGCCGGCTGCGCATCGTGCGGGACTGGCTGACCCTGGCGCAACAAGCGCGCAACAACCCGACCACGCGCGCCGTCTACGCCGACGCCGTCGAACAAGTGGCCCGCGCGCAGTTCCCTTTCCTCACGCACCCGGACAACCCCACCACGAGCACCCAACCCATCGCGCACCTCCGCGCGAGCTTCGAGCCCCAAAGCGCGGGGATCGTCATCCCGACCAGCGACAAGACCGTGCGGTACGCGGCGCACCTGATCGGGGCGCTGCGGACGGTGCTGCACTCGACGCTGCCGATCCAAGTCGTCTACGCGGGCGACACCGACCTCTCGCCCGCCCACCGGGGCCTCCTCGCCACGCTGGCCGGGCCCGACCCCGCCGCCGCCCCAGCGATCGAATTCCTTGACATCCTGACCGTCTTCGACGACGCGACCCTCCAGCTCCGGACGGGCGGGTGGGCGATCAAAGCGTTCGCGGCGCTGGGCTCGCGGTTCGAGACGGTGATCCTGGCGGACGCGGACGCGGTGTTCCTGCAGCGGCCGGAGGTGCTGCTGGGGCACGAGGCCGTGCGGCAGCGCGGGGCGCTGCTGTTCCACGACCGGCTGCTGTGGCCGCACGCGTTCGCGGGGCGGCACGCGTGGTGGCACGACCAGATCCGGCGGCCGAGCGGGGCGCTGAACGCCTCGCGCGTGTGGACGGAGGAGTACGCCGAGGAAGGGGATTCCGGGCTGGTGGTGCTGGACAAGGGCCGCGTGGATGTGTTGGTCGGCCTGCTGCATGTCTGCTGGCAGAACTCGTTCGAGGTGCGCGAGGAGACCACGTACAAGATCACCTATGGCGACAAGGAGAGTTGGTGGTTTGGGTTGGAGGTGGCGGGCGCGGAGTATGCGTTCTCGCCGCACTATGGGGGGATTGTCGGGTGGGAGAGGGAGGAGGAGGTGGATGAGTCGGGGGTCGTGGTGCCAGGGACTGGTGGCGGTGGGGTGTGCAGTTTTGTGATCGCCCATGTCGATGCCAGGGATCGCTTGCTGTGGTATAATGGCAGTCTGTTGAAGAATAAGGGCCAGCCCGGCATGGAGAATGAGTATCAGGTGCCGGAGAAGTGGATGATCGATGCGGACTGGATCAAGGGGGAGCGGAAGCAGGATCAGAGCTGCATGGTCAATGGGGCCGTTAGGGATTTGACGGACGAGGAGAAGGGGATCTTGGCGAGGTCGATTGAATTGGCCAAGTCGTTGGATGGGTTGGTGCAGCCGGTGCAGCCGGGATGAGAGACACAGGTTGAGGTTGATGGGGACCATGATACATATACATATACATATATCAGGATTTGCTTGTACATATAGATGATATCCAATACATTTCTACTTCTGCGATCCTTTGCTCTGATGACATGAGCACAATGGACAGATTTACTCTACGAAATGGTGGTTGGAATACGAGGCGATGAGTGAATGCTGCTGAGGCGAGCGCAGGAAGGAAAAAAGTCGGACGAGAATCGGGGGCGAGGGGGGTGGGGGGTGGGGGGGGGTTTATACTCCGGGCGTTGTCGCGCACCTTCCTGATTTAGCCTGTAGTAGGTACGTGGAGGTACAGCAACGCTCCTGCCCAACTCGGCCATCTTGAAGGACACCGTGGACAAGAATGACAGCCACTGCTGAGCAATCCAGATCACCGTCATTTGTCGCAGACCGAATCAATGTCATTTCGGCCGCAATTACCCGGTCTTCCATGGTGGGGACAATGCAGCGACCATGGGCACACCGAGATTTTTGCGACCGGGTCTAGACTCATCGACGGCTGGCGAATGGAAAACCCGGCAAAGATGCTGTGGGCATCTTTTCACCGCCTGCGTGTTTCTGCCGCTGCGGCGCAAGTTTCCTATTGCACGGAACCGTCATGTAGCCCCAGGATGAGGGTGATGACCACTTTACTCATTCTTGTGGTTATTGTATGCTATGTTAGGGATAATCTGCCACTAAGATCTGATCTTAGACGAATACATTGATTGGGGTCTTCCTACTACTAGTATAGCGTAATAAGCATATGTGTGGGGTAGTACACGTACTACTCGTGCAGGAACAGATACATATTGACAGTCCAACAGCGGCTGACACGGGGAACGAGACTTTAGTCTCTGATCCATCGTCTCTCTCACATCCGAGTCAAACCTACTGGGTATGAATTCAAAATAGTACAGGAATCCTTGCAGATCAACACAGAACATCCTGAGGTTCCATGTAAAGCAATTGCGTTCGTGAACCAGAACGTGCAGTAACTACTATGTGGAATCTTATGCTATGCTACTGTGCACTATGCTATGCATGTCAGACGGCGATAAACACGCTTATCACCGGGTGATCGCCGTCAGCAACCCCGCAATCAAGTAAACAACTGATGAGTAGCGTACAACTTGTCATTTAAGTTATAACCATCTCACCCTCCCTCACGGATCTCCCCAAACACCATAATCATACACCGAGAAACATCAAACATCAAACATCATGACAGCCCCACCCTCCGTCTTCCGCCCCGGGGCCACAGCCCTCATCACCGGCGCCGCCTCCGGGATCGGCTTCGCGACCGCGCAACACTGCCACCAGCAGGGAATGAACCTGATTCTGGTGGACATCGACCCCGCCAAGCTGACCGAGGCCGCCAACGCGCTGGACCAGCCCCAATCGACCACCAAAATCCACACCTTCATCCTCGACGTGTCCCAGCACGCAGCCTGGGAGCGCCTCAAGCCGACCATCCACCACCTCTACCCGGACGGCATCGACCTCCTCATGCTCAACGCGGGGCGCCTCGCCCAACCAGCCCCCGGCAAAAGCCCCTGGCAGGACCCGAGCTACTTCGAGACGACCTTCGCGACCAACACCTTCGGCTACACGAACGGACTGGCCGCCTTCCTCGACAGCGTCACCTCCACCACCACCACACCAAACCAAAACCCCCGCGCGATCATCCTCACCGGCTCCAAGCAAGGCATCACCAACCCCCCCGGCAACCCGGCGTACAACGCCTCCAAGAGCGCCGTCAGGACCATCGCCGAGCATCTCGCGTTCGACCTCCACAGAACCCACCCGCAGGTCGGCGTGCATCTGCTCGTGCCCGGCTGGGTGTACACCGGCATGATGCAGACGCATTTCCCCACCAAGCCGGCCGGGTGCTGGACGCCCCAGGAGACGGTCGCGTTCATGGTGCGCCGGATGGCCGCCGGGAGCTTCTATATCATCTGCCCCGATAACGAGGTCAGCGAGGAGTTGGATAAAAAACGCATTGCCTGGGCCTGTGGGGATGTGGTGCACGATCGGCCGGCGTTGACGCGGTGGCGCGAGGATTGGAAGGAGCGGGCCGCGAAGGGGATCGAGGAGTTGGATGTGTCGAAGTAGGTCGTGCCGTTGGTTGAGGAGGTGTAAGGTGTAAGGTGTAAGGTGTAAGGTGTAAGGTGTAAGGTGTAAGGTGTAAGGTGTAAGGTGTAAGGTGTAAGGGTGTGGGAAGATGAAGGTGGGGTATATTGGTGTGTAGGGCGAGGATAGGCGGGGTGACAGTGTTGAACGATTAGTTCAAACAAATGTGGATGCTCATGGCACTACCTACCTATTACCTACCTATGCATTTATGTGCAGTGGTATGAGTTCAGTTCCACTGGATCGTGCACTTTCATTGGTCGCATACAACTACTAGTCAGCAGCATCATGCACACAATTCTCATGCATATCGAGATCTACAACTTTTAAGTGGCAAGCTAGTGGCGAATCCACCACCCCAGCGCACTCCACGAAAACACATCATTCACAATAAAAATGAATATTATACTATCGAAATGCAGGGCATCTGCCCACGAAGTAGATATACAACACCCTAACAGACATGGCCCTCTATCCGAGTACCATCCAGTACAGTACGACAAGTAAACAGCCACCGACACAGCGCGTGTCAGCTAACCAGCGCAGGCTGCTGCGGGGCATGCCCATGCCCATGCCCGTAGAGCGGCCACCGCCGCCGCCCAAACACAATCCGCGACGTATATCGCTTGGTCTTCCGCAGCACCGCCGGGCCCCCCACGGCAACAGCAACGGACGCTTGTCGAGGGCCCTCTTCGCTGACCAGATTCACGTCCCCGCTGCCGTCGCAGGCGGCCAGAAGATTCTGTTGTGATACTACGCGCTTGAGTCCGGCTGCGTTGTGTTTCTGCGCGGTAGCGGTAGCCGGGCCAGCGGAAGAGGATGTAGGTGTAGAGGCGGAGGCAGAGGCGGAGGCAGAGCGCCGTCGGACCATCGCCCGAACGGCCCCGGTGATCTGTTCGCGGATCACGGTGACTGGTAGGGCTGTCTGGATGGGCGAGCTGGTGTAGGAGCGAGGGTCGTCGAATTCCTCCTCCTCGTCGATGGTGTCCTCGTCTTCGAGGGAGAAGGCGGCCATCTGGGCGCGGACGGCTTGTTGGGCCGCTTCGATGGACCGGTGTAGGAGGCGCTGGTGCGCGAGGCAGCGGCGGAGGTCGGGGCTCTTGGTGGCGGTCTCGCGCTGGAGTTTGTTGCGCGAGAGGAGGACGATGTGTGTGGGGATTATTGTGGAGGCACCTGAGGAGGATGTGGTGGTGGTGGTGGTGGTGGTGGCGGTGCGGCGGGCGATGGGGGGAATGCGGGTGTTGACGGTGGTGGTGGAGGGAGAGGTGAGGCGGGAGGCGTGGCGGAAGAGATGGGGGGCTTCCATGATGTTTTTCTTGGTTGTCTTGAGGTTGTGAATGAGTATATGAATGGAATTGAGGATTTGTTGCAAAGTGTGAGGTATGAGGTTGTAGTTGACGGTGAAGTTCGTGGCTTGTGAAGTATCAAGGAAGGCTAGTGCAAAGGATAGGCAGCATCAGGCTGTATTCAATGAAGATTTCTAGCACGCGGGTTGTGTTTCGTCTCGTATTAACATGTCTGATCGTGTGAATGTCTGAATATTTGTAGTCCCCTGATTCAGGGACCGAGGGGGTGGTCAGGGGATACTTTATACCCTCTCCCCGGACCCTGCAGGGCAAGCAACAAAGGAGGGGGATGTCCGTCTGCATGAAGCTTATGGATCCTTCAAGCGGACCCAGTGGAGCACGATGGCTCGAGCACCCGTCTTCACCCACCCCTGTTGCTGTTGCAGTACTGTGGTTAGGGCTTGATGTCGGCCGACGCCGGTGGTCCAGGCTTTGTCTGTCCCCTGCGCCTGTCGGAGCCGGGGACCCTCGTCGGCCGTGTGAACGATGCAAAGACTATTCCAAAGGATTAAACTCAGCCCCGGCTAACCCGTCTGGAACTGGTCAGTGCTGATCCCCCAGACAATCGAGGATTGGTCGGCTTGCGCCGTCGGGTGGCGAGCCAAGGGTGTCATATGCGTCATAGACTTGCGGGTTCCCCCGGGGTGGTCGCCTGGCTATCGAGTCTATCGATAAGGGTTTCCGGCAGAGTTCGTTCTGCTCGATCGAATCATACGACTTGGTCGCCATCGAGAGAGGGCTATTGTGGGCTGGGCCCGGCTGGGGCCAGACTGGGTGGCCGAGGCTAAACGCGGGGATGGGAAGGAATGAAGGGAATGAAGAGTCGAAAAGACTTTGTCACCTGGTGGAATGTAACCCTATCCCAATGCGGATAGCCTTGACGAGGTTCCGACAAGAGTCTGACAAGACGACTACTATTGCATTCATCTCCTCAATATTGTGCAATAAGCCTTATTCAAGTTGCTTGTTCGTCACTTCTGCACGCATGGAGATGCTGCAGAAACTCGATGGCCGCCGTGGGGCATATTTTTACCCCACTGCACATATTGCACCGTCACATCCCCCACACCAGGACCTGCTCGCTCATGCTCGGCGCAATCAGTGCAGATCCCCAGCAACACCAGAAATCAGATCAGACAGGGTGTATCATTAGCAGCAAACATCGCAAACAACACTCTTGAATCATGTACTCGCCGAATTAAGCAGGAGGCAGGCGAGCAAGCACTGGGGCGACCAGCACCCGTCTAGCTTTCTCGCGGGCTCACTACCATGGGACCAAGGTCTTTGACTTTGGACAGCAACAAAGGAAGCCAACCCCAGCAGCAGCTCGCTCTCCAGAGAGCCGCAGCGACAGTCAAAGAGATAAGAGATAAGCTAAGCCAGCAACAGTGCACGTCCCCCCATCGGCGACGCCGACATCCCCACGACCCAGCCCATGGTTGACGGGCGTTGATAGGCGGCGAGCGGATTTCCGCAAGCGGCAACTGGTCCCTAAACATTCCAGCCTCGACCACGGATCTCCAGCAAGGGATCCCCCTTGATCTTGCACGAAACGCCAGTGAGCACTGTCGGGCCAAGCCGCCGTCGCAAAGTCGATATCAACTGACGCAGATAAGGGGGTGGACGATCGAAACCTGCGATCAACAGTTCCTGTCTACGGAGATAGGAAACCGACACTCGCACGCTCACTGGCAGGGACAACGCGACATCCAAACCAGGACAGCGCAGAAGCCACAACCCCGCGATCATCACCGGAGTTTTGTGACGACCAGAATAGAAAAACTGAAAAACTAGATATTAACATAAGAGACACCCAAACCAGATATCAAACACCAAGTCAAGCGTCATACATAGATACAGTTGAAGGGGACATCATCAATATCCAAGATCTATCATCATCAAACTCCTCCCCCAGCTTCCTGCTCCCCACATATTCTTTCCTCCCCGGCGGGCATGACGATCATAATACAAACGGGATGACATTACTTTTTCCTTGTTATAGCACGAACCCCAACCCCAACCAGACGATCAGCACGGGGATCAGCAACCCCCGCAACTCCGCCCTCGTCGACGACCAGGCGGCGGCGGCGCCGGATTCCTTGGAGGTGCCGTTGCTCGAGCCATTGCCGGCGGCCAGGCTGGTCAGGTTGCTGCCCACCCAGGCGTTCCAGTTGGTCATGTTGTTGTTGGCGCAGGTGGTGCGGATGGGCTGGCCGGCGACGCGGGTGAGTTCCTTGCCGTCGCGCGTGAGGGTGACGATGACCTCGCCGGTGCGGTTGTCCATGGGCACCGAGCCGAAGTACATCCCCCTGTCGCCGTCGGGGGTGTCGGACCAGTCGACCGACTCCGACTGGCCGTCGATGCTGACGGACACCTCGGCGGCGGACTCGAGCAGCGCCGAGAAGAAGATCGCGTCCGTGAGCACCTCGCCCGGCGGCAGGACGGTCTGGCCCTGCGAGGCGGTGTTGCCCGTCGTCTTGCCGGCGGAGCAGGCCCACGACGGCGAGAGGCGGTACCAGGCGACGAGCCCCTCGGACTCGATGGCCGAAGTGCCGTCGCCGCCGTTCTTGTACTCGTCGATGACATAGGGCAGGAAGGCGCGCCAGCCGTCGTGCGGCATGCCGACGGCGTAGTCGAAGGGGGCGCCGCCGGAGACGAAGGTGCCGAGGTCGTGCTCGTGGATGGGGCCGATGTAGTGCGACTCGCCGAAGTCGTTCCAGGTCAGGATCTCGACGTACTCGGGCTCGAGCTCGGCGACCTGCTTCCAGCGGGTGTACCACAGGTCGTCGCCCTGCCAGACCCAGTTCTTGTTGTAGCGGACCATGTTGGTGTAGAACCAGGGGGAGACGGGCATGATGTAGGGGCGGTCGGTGCCGTTGGAGGACTTCAGCACGGACAGGTAGCGCTCGTCCATCGAGGTGTTCATCGCCGCCGTGCCGTCGGGCCAGGCGTTCCAGCTCATCAGCCCGTCCGCCACCGTCGCCGCCGCCAGCTTCTCCGGCAGCACGCTGGACCAGTCCGGCACGAAGAAGCAGTCCACCTTCTTCTTGATGTTGACCCAGTCGCCCTGCGCCTCGTAGCCCTCGAAGGTCGACACCAGCGGCGTCTCCTCGTTGTGCTTGTAGTACGCCGGCAGCTTGGTGTAGTTGCTCAGCCACGTGATGACCTGGTCCTGCGGCCAGTGGCCGTCCCCGCTGTAGTCCAGCGAGAAGAACAGCTTGAAGTCCAGGTCCGCCGCCGCCGTGAACGCGTCGTTCAGGATCTGGCCCGCGTACGGGCTGCCGTACCCCATGTTCAGCGCGAAGGCGTCGATCTTGGCCGCCTGCGCCAGCGTGATGTCTTCCTTCCAGTTATCGATCGTGAAGTTCTGACTGTTGGCCACCTGTGCATCGGATGCCTGTTAGCAAGGTGTCTTTATTCAAGCTGAGGGGAATGTAGAGAAAGGAGAAGAGAGAGAGAAAGAGAGAGCCAAACCATGAAGTGAGCAAAGACAGCCTTAGCCTGCACATGGCAGGCCAATGCTACCACCAGGGCAATGATCAATGCCATAGTACTGTACCCGTGCGAGATACGAACACAAGACCTCAACGTAACAGTGCGTACAGTATCCCAAAGACCCGAGAAAAACCCAGCAGAAGAAAAGCAGAATGGGATGGGGATGTCTGAGTTGATATTGGCCACCGGAGCCCGGCCAGCTCGCGCTCGACTCTGTACAATCCATCCTGATATTCAGGGGGACTAGCCCGTAAAGGAATTTCCTCAATGGGCCACAAACAAATATAGCATCTACAGTAGACAGCCTAATTGAGTTTTCTGTTTCCACACTCGAGTAGCACGGCCTGAGCACCACCTGTCAGAGACCAGGCGAATCCGGGAGAAAAGGGAAGAGGATCCGGTGTTGCCCCCAGTTGCGTGAGCTCTTGGAAGCGGTCTGTCAGCAATGATCCTCAAGCACACCTTCACCAAACTAAAAAAAAAAGAGAGAAGATTTTTATCAGTGAAAGCTCCCCTCGCTTGCGAATGAATCATAGGAGGACAAAGACCACCAGTGGATGTCCACTCCTCCATCAGGTGGATGTCTAAACAGACAGACAGAAAACACGCAGCTGCGAACACCCACCACCCCTCCGAGTTGTTGCTGCGCGAATGGGGGACAAACGACTAAACCCCGGATTGATTGACAGGGCCCAAGACAAATGGTTCGAGAGAGTGGAGCCAATTATTGCAGCATAGACCTCCAGGCTACTGCATTGGGGAGGCGTATTATTGTTGCTGAGGATGGACCATCGAATGTGAGGTGTCCGGCGCCATCATCCTTTCTTGGGGGAGGGAGGGCATTGAGGCCAAAGGCGGAAACAAAACCCTAACCACGGCGATCAATGTATGACAGGTCCCTTTTTTGGGGGGGGAAGGGCGCGTCTCCTCACGTACTGTTGTGAAAGCCCATTGAATGTAGTGGAAGCCCACTGGATTAATTGTGTTGTTGTATTGTTTCAGTGCTATAATGGAATACGAAAAAGGTCTCACATTCTTCTTCCCCAAGACACTTTCCAGCATCATGAATCAAGCCCAGAGCGGATATTGGTTGGCCCTACGCCACCGTGATTCACATCTATCGGGTGGCCGATGTGGGGAGATCATAGTATAGTCGTAGGCCTGTAGCTATTGATAACTAGGTAGTCAGTACTGAGTAGACATCAGACACGCTGGCCAAGAGCTGCGACGCTCACCGGCTCCCGTGGGGAAGAAACCAAAGAAAAAAGGGAACGGTGGAGCCTCTTAGTCGCGAAAATCGCTCCAGCCGAGTTTCCGAGTTCCCGACGCCTGCACAACCGGTGGCCGTTGGCAGACAGCTCTTACCGATATTCCCATAATGAATCATGCGACTTCGAAGGGAGTCTACGTAAGAAAGCAGAAAGTTGCAGGACGAGGTGCAGCTTTGACGTCGGCGAGCACGAGTTCGCCGCTCGCCGTTCGGACAGCGGCAAAGAACACTACCATGCAACTGTTGCATCCATCCTACGCATGGAATGATTTTTTTTACTGCTTCGCCACCAGTCCAATGCAACTTTCTATTAATTTTCCTGTGCAGTAGACGGATGACTTGGCTCTGACAAATTGTGGTGGTGTGCATTCACTCTGTTTTTCTTCCAAGAACAAATACGAAGTCCGTCCGTTGTGTGGGCGGAACTGAGCCACTAACTTACTACAGTACCTATGTATAGCTTCCCTCTGACTTGTCACCGGTCGCAAAACTTAATTGGCGCACAAACCAAGCCCAAACCAAAACGAATTCACTCAGCAAACCGCGTGCGTTTTTCCGGTCTTACCCTGGAGCGAATGTTTTTCATCTCTGTAGACCGGGTGGCCTTGGGGCCCGCGGGTCGCATGCGTCTGGACGTAGGTGCTGTATCGCTTGATCATCGTCTCGTCCATCTCCTCGAGCGACTTCAGCGCCTGGCGGATGTCCTCCACCAGCAGGTTACAGCGATGGATGCTGAAGTCCTCGCGCAGGACAATCCGCATCATCTTCAGCTCGTTGCAGTTGGGGGCCATGGTGTAGGCGGGGATCACCCATCCCCGCCGCCGCAGCACATGCGCCAGGGAGAACTCGTCGTAGAGACGGCCCTCCTCTTCGGGCAACCGGTACGCGACTAGGGGAAGACCGCGACCGTTGCCCTCGCTCATGATGATGAAGCCCAGTTTCTCCAGCTCTGAGGCCAGGTAGTCGGCGATTTGAGTCAGGTTGGTCATGATTGAGCGATAACCATGCTTGCCCAGTCGGATCAGCTGATAATATTGGCCAATGACATGCGAGGCGCCTTTCGAGAAGTTTAAGGTGAAGCTGGCTTGATCCGCGCCGAGATAGTTGATGTTGAAGATCAACTCTTTGGGCAGATACTCCGGGGCACGCCAGAAGACCCACCCGACGCCGGGATAGACCTGTGGGGGGAGAGAGAGAGAGTCCGTGTCAGCACTAAATCCACTGACTCAAGTCAAGTCCCTTGCTGAATAGCATCATGATTGGTCAAGTTTGAGCTCTATCCGGTGTGTTCGAGGTAAGCAGCCAAACCTACCAATCCATATTTATGGCCTGAGACATTGATCGAGACGACCTTCTCCAGTCGAAAGTCCCATTCCAGCTCCGGTTTCACAAACGGCACGACGAACCCGCCACTGGCGGCATCCACATGGATCGGGCAGTCGATATTTTTGGCGACCAGCAGATCATTGATCGCCTTGACGTCCTCGTACTGGCCCGTGTAGGTGGTGCCCAGGATGGCGCAGATGCCGACGGTGTTCTCGTCGACCAGGTCGACCGCGGTGGCCGGGTCGATGACGTACCGGGTCTCGGTGCAGTAGACGTACTTCTCCTCCACCTCGAAGTACCGCGCCGCCTTCTCCCAGCAGACCTGCACCGCGCTGTTCATGATGATGTTCGGCCGCGACCAGTCCTGGCCCGCCGCCTTGCGCCGGTTCTGCCAGCGCTTCTTCATCGCCAGCATCGCCAGCATGATCGCCTCCGACGACCCGACCGTCGACGTCCCGATCGCGTCCTGCTCCGACCCCGCCTGTCCCGTCGTCGGGGCGTGGAACAGCCCCGCGATCATGTTCACACACCGGTTCTGGATGTGCGCCGATTGCGGGTACTGCTCGTAGTCGATGAAGTTTTTGCTCATCGCGTCCGACATCAGGGTTTGCACTTCGTCTTCCTGTGTGTGCTTTAGCAACATGCAGCGGCCCACGGTGCGTCCGGACGGTGGGGAGGGGGCGACCGACCATGTAGGTGGTGACGAAGCTCGCCAGACTGCCAAACGGTTATCATCGCTTCCAAGCGGAAGTGCAGAGAAGGGCATTTTACTTGAGCAGCGGATTGCCATCGAGACTCAGCTCATCCTTGATCATCCGGTATGCGACGCTGGCCGGCATCTCCTGCTCCGACATCGCATGCTCGGGCAGCTCCTCCACCGCGTAGTGTGTCCCGTAGACATTGGCTGACGCCTCGGATGCCTCCGCTTCACGCTTCTCCCGCCGATGACGGTGGGTTTGAGGTTCCTTGGCAATTGACGAAAGATGGACCATCTTTGCTAGTATACAGGTCAAAGTGGTTGTGTGTTGTGTTAAGTGGACACTGCTCGCGACCGTCTGTCTTTATAAGAGTGTGGTGGTTGTACCGAAACTCTGTGCGCCGGGATGACCTCACCACTCCCGCAGGAGGACGGACTTGGTTGTACCTCGTGTTGGTTCTCGCTCATATGAGCGACACAGACTCTTTGTCATTGAGCGACTCTGTCATCTGGGTTGCTACACTCCGCGCCGCGTGTGTTACCCTACCCTCAGATAGTAGTCCATCTTGGCGTGTATGGCTGATTTCACGTGACTCAAGATGAGCGTGGCTGACCATGTAAGTCTCCCGCTTGTCGTGAAGTCGGTCGCTGATCGTGCTGGCATCGAATAACGACAGATCGTGATCATATCTGATCGTGGTGGCTTAGGTCGTTGCCAATGCGGTGGTCGTCTCGGCATTGGCCAGATTTCAACTCCGGAGACAGCGGTGGAGTTAGCGGCGGAGATAAGATCAGTGACAGGGAGCTGGGACTCAATATCCACCGCAACCGCCGGCTGTCTCTATGTCTTATATCGAACAGTGCGGTTAGGCCCCTTGAAGAAGGTTGAGCCCGTGTTCCAGAATCGATTCACCACCAACCAAGCCTCCCCCATTGAACATCGACAATGGCGACTCCGGACAAATTGCCAACCCGTCCGCTGGGTAGACACGGGCCTCTGCTTCCGCGCATCGGCTTGGGGCTGATGGGCGCCAGTGGCGTATACGGTATGCCTCTGGATGAGGACAAGATGCTGAGATTGCTGGACGAGGCATACGCCAAAGGCGAGACGTTTTGGGATACCGGTATGTGGTTCCAGATGCGATGCACGCCGTAGCACAGAGCTCGAGGAGGGTGAAAGGGACAGGAATGGAATGAAATTGCTGACGGCCATTTCAGCGGATAAGTACGGTGCGTCCGAAGAGATCCTCGGAAAATGGTTCGCGGCGAACCCGGACAAGCGCCAGAATGTCTTCCTGGCCACCAAATTCGGGATTCGCCCCTCCTCCGAGTCGCCGCACGGATACAAGATGGACTCGACGCCCGAGTACTGCCGCCAGTCGCTGGAACGATCGCTGAAACGCCTGGACCTGCCCTATGTGGACCTGTACTATGTCCATCGCTTGGATAAGATCACCCCCATCGAGAAGACAATGGAAGCCCTGGTGCAGTTGAAGCAGGAGGGGAAGATCAGGTTTATCGGGCTGAGCGAGTGCAGTGCCGAGTCGCTGCGCCGGGCGCATGCCGTGCACCCCGTCACCTGTGTGCAGGTGGAGTACAGTCTGTTCTGCCTGGCCATCGAGTCGCCCGCGATTCGACTCCTGGAGACCGCACGGGAGTTGGGGGTGGGGATCGTGGCGTACAGCCCGCTCGGAAATGGGCTGTTGGGCGGCAGTCTGCGTTCCCGCCAGGATGTCAGTCGGCCCGGCGATTCACGGGGAGTCTTGCCGTGGCTGCGTGAGAAGAACATCGTCAAGAACCTGACGGTGGTGGACAAAATCGCCGACATTGCCAAACAGAAGGGGGTCACTACCGCGCAACTGGCGCTGGCCTGGATCTTCGCGCAGGGCGACGACATTTTCGCGATTCCCGGAACCACGAGACCCGAGCGCTTGGACGAGAACCTGGGAAGCGTCTCAATACCTGTGTCGGGGGATGAGGACAGCTCACTTCGGCTGTTGGCTAAGGAGGTTGCTGGGATTCGGTTTCAAGCGCTGACAGGATATGACTTTGCGAATACTCCGCCGTTGGAGCCCTTCCCGTCTGCAAAGAGAGACCAGAGTACATACGAGACCAATCAGTCTGTATTGGCTTATAAGAATTAATTCAGGTGTGATGCAGATTGCTGTCCAGTGTAAGATTCCGGTAGCACGCAAGTGCTGTCCCGTGTCCCGATCCAAGCGTTGAAGAAATCCAACTCCGAGTAGGTCTGGTGATCCTGTGTCTGACTGGCAGTAGAGAAAAGAGCATTGTCGTTCATTCCACCAATAAAGCCCATGTTGTTGACAAAGAACATGGAAGTAGGATCAGCCACAGCCATCATCGGAACCTCAGCAGCAGATCTGGCCGACCGGCGCAGTATGCAGAAAGATCCAAAGTAAGGGATCTCTAATTTCAGGCTGCACTCCGCAGCCTCAGGGACCTCGTTGGCTCGCAAGACGTAAAACTCTGCACCGTCCGCCGCCTCCTCCTCGATCACTCGCAGTTTGCGCACGATGCCGATCGTCGGGCTTGTCAGGTGGTTCCGTGTACAGAGCTGCTCCAGGATATCGATGACGTTGTCGACAGTTCTCAGATCCAAGGGCCGTTGGTGCTCCAGTGCATTCGCGCGGCCCAGATTATGTCCGTCGACATGGATGATCAAGAGAGCCGTGGCTGCAACGAAGGCCTTGTTGTCCAGCCCATGATAGGACATCATCGGGTGCTCATCTCGGAAGGCCAGGCATCGCGTCAGCACTTCCCGGCTGGCGGAGAGGATGGCGAGCTTTTTGTACCCATGGTCCCCGGCCGACAGGACGGATATCACGCTGTCAGCCTCGCGGGAGCGTCCCAGATGTTGAAAAAGGTATGGCTGATACAGCAGGATGAGAAGGTAATGGTGGTGCATTTGGGTGATGATCTGAGCAATGGCACCCATTTTCTCCTCCTCGGTCACCTGGTTCTCCAGCACCGGCGGATCCCACCACGCGATCGGCAAATTTCGGATCGCTTTCCTCAATTCGTAGTCGATGTCGTCGGTCTCTTTGTAATCATCGAATCCAGCTTCTTCCCGTTGCCCGATCGAGGCAAAGCGAGGCAGCATGCGCATGTTCCGATCGGCGATTCGGCCCGCCAGAACAACGTGCATGCGCTCCAGTCTGTCGAACGGCGAGAGCTTCGCCATGAAATGCTCGTCTGCAAAACTGTTGTCCGACAGTGAAAGAGGCAGGCCGAGAATGAGCGACAAGAACCGATCACAATACACCAGTCGGAAGAAGAGAGCCTGCATTTTCTGGTTCGCTTGCTGGAGCTGCTGGGGGTAGCCCAGCATCTGTGCCACGCTGAGGGCCCGACGGAAGATGAGCCACGCCGGCCGCATGGTTCCTACGTTGATGTGATAGCGAGCCTCGAGCATGAGAGTGTCCAGCCCCTCCAGCGAGCAGACGAGCTCGTTGTCGGAGGTGACATGGCGACTAGCGACCGTGAGATAGCGCTGGGCAGCGGCTCCCGGTGATTCCCTCAGTTGGAGCTGGACCTCGTGGGAGGATGTCAGGCTGAGTTGCTGCAGTCCTAGAGCCAGCTGCACCAGCTTACGGGCCAGGTCGACCGGTGGTGTGGTCGACGATGACAGTTCCAGGGCCGCATCGGGCTTCGCTGTTTCGATTGTCGCCGGTGGGCGGCTTACCCGGGGCGACTGCACAAGCGTGAATGGAAAATAGAAGAATCTGCCCTTGGTTAGAATCATGAACGCAGTGGAGGGAGGAGGAATATATGAGAGGAGAAAGCTCCCCAGCGACCGAGTGGGTGTGTGCCGATTGCCAACTGGGTTGATGACAGCAAAGGAGGCGGCTTCTGCATCGAGCCCGGGCTGGCTCAACAGGGGGGGCTTGTCCCCTGAGATCCTCGCTGCAGCCTGTCGCTGTGATTTGGTTGGAGGGGCATTCTTTCGCTGGCGAAGTAGATGGTCCACGAGCGATTCGATGTGCTGGATACGGTCCTCAACCTGCTCATAGTTGTTGCTGCTGCTGCTGCTGCTGCTGGATGGATCGGCAAAGGCTTGGCTAATGCATTGCAGCCCTCGGCTGTCGCAATACACACAGCTGGGGTTGCTGGCGGGCTCGAAGATGCATCGTCTCTTTCGATGCTTACATTCCCAGCAGGAAAAGGTCCCTTTTCGAACTTTGCGTCTTTTATGGTTTGTGTCATAGAGAGTTGAGGATGGTAGTGATGATGACGACGACGATGGGGTGGAAGACATGATAGTATCTCACAGTGGGTGGTTTCAGCGGGTCTTACCCCGGGGAGGAGACAGAACAAGCGGTTGGGTGGAGTTGGAAAGAAAAAAGGAGAGAGGGGGCTTGGACTTAAGGCTAGTTAGTTGAATACGAGTGTAGTTCAATAATAATGTTTATCAGTAGGGAGATAAAAAGTGACAAAACACGCTAACATACGCTAACTGACACCCCGGTCACGCATTTCTCCTCCCCTGTCGACCATAAATGGTTCGGTGCATACATACCTAGGAACTACAAATCACAAATCACAAAATCGCATCAATTTCTTTCATCAAACTACATGTGGCTTGCTCCATCACAACTAAGAACAATTGGCCGCCTATTCGATGGGCGTGGGCGTACCGTGATCTGTGCAATGCGCGCCCCCCCCCGCCCTCTTCACTCCTCGAAGTCCAAGATCTCAACATTCAGACCCGGAGGCACATTGACCTGCCGGAGATCATCCATATCCACATCGTCCGGCGCAGAGACCCTAAGCACCGTCAGTTTTACCTCCCAGCTACTCCGCCAACCTGGTCAGACTTACGACATGAAGTGGATGGGCGGGTAGGTAGATGTGGACTCGAACTCATCCGGGATCTGCAGGTCCTTGGCTTTGTAGATCTCTCGAAGACTAAGGGACGACCGCTCAGATCAGCAGCTCACTCACTAATGAACACTGACTATCTCATTAGTGCTTGATGGCTGGCTTGGCCTTACTTGTTCGCCAGCTTGGACCCATCCCCATAGTATTCATGGGCCAACTCATTATCATAGCGAACGTCGAAAGTCTACTTGCGATGGCAAGGTAAGTAGAAAGAACAAATTTCGAATGGTTGCAGTCGGGACTAACCAAGTCTTTCATTTTGGCGGTGGTGTGCTGTTGCTGGCTCTAATATCACTGGGGTGTTGAAGTGGGCAGCAATGTTGCTCACGGAGAGAACCGAAAGAAATGCTGGGCCAGGTTTCCCCTTTAATAGGATGAATTTCTCGAGTTGCTGTTGTTGAAGCACTGCCTCGCAAACACTAAATCGACTAGATGAGGTCATCTAGGCCTCACCAGTGTGTGGATAGAGTTGGGGAGTGGATGGGCCATACGTTCCAGATGGCTCCGTAGCCCACCGATCGGGCTGCAGGTGGCGGACCGGTCACTTCGCATGGTCTGTTTGCAGATCGACGGTCTGACGATGACTTCAATGACCCAGACCTCATTTCAATCCGTGTTGATCTCTCCGATCACTGTGGATCAACGTGTGGAGGGCAGAGAGTGTGCGTGCGTATCGATACTTACTGATACTTTTACACGCCATGCGAGATCAGAGTGCCATGGCAATACTGTAACTTACACATCACGTGATTAGCCGAGTCGACCCGCGTTCGAATCCGGGCTGCCACACTTCCATTCATTCGAATATCTCCTTTTCCATCATCTCCAAGCATTTCCGCATCTGTCGTAGTTCCAAACCCCCCTCAACAAGGCGACTTCACCACTCCCGGCACAACCCCGTGCACCTTGAAATACCTCCAATCCTGCACACACACAAAGGCCAACAATCCAACCACCCCACTGTACCGTCCTGATCAGTCACCCCGCCCACCACCAGGAGAAGAATTCGGAAAGACTCACCACAATCCCAGCGCCAGCACGGCCACAATCCCCCCCAGCGCCTTACTGCTCGTACTATGCCCCCCACTCGCGCCCATGATGCTGATAATGAACAAGGCAACCCAGAAAATCGTGTCGATGATGTCCAGGATCATGTTGGCGCGGGGGCTGGCCCATCGTTTAAAGCGCTCGTGGTAGGTGGTGAGGGTTTGGTAGGCTAGGAAGAGGGCGGCTTTTATGCACTACGTAGAACAAACAGTATTAGCAGTGTGGTATGGGTGGGATTTGGCATGGGTGCGGGTGGAGGGAGCCCTCACTACTGCGATGCCCCAGGTATTAGTCCGCGTCGGCGGGGTGCCTTTATCGGCGACCCGGGCGATGATCAGGATGAAGGTTAGGGTGATTAGAGAGCCAATTATGATGTGCAGGCGTAGCTTGAGGCGCGGGTGGTTGTCGAGGGCAAGGTTGATCATGGCTTGTGGGTGTGCTGTTTTGAGGGTGATAAGTGGTAACTTGGGTGTAGATGAGTGGTGAGGAAATTAGAATGCTTGTTCGAGAATGGCACGCTTTATATACGTGGACCATCATATGTAACTCGGACTACGCCGCCATCGATAATTTTCTCTCCGAATATCGTCTAATAAGATAGGCAGACATCCGCAGAAAATAGAAATCGGCACTCACGTCCACGGTTTCGTGCATGCAGTGGTGATATTGTTGACTTCGTATCGCTTGCCCAAACCGGACATGCGTACGGGTATCGCGACAGGAATCCTTGGCTCTTGCTAGCAGTTTTCGTGGGGTACAATTCAGCCCAGGTGTTGGGTTACATCAATCACCATTGGTTGCCACATACAAAACAGACAGCCTAGGCTCCACTAACATTGGTCTGTAAGGAGAGATCGCCCCAGAGACGCAATCCAAGCGTAGATTGACTTGATGCGCAGTCTGTTGAGTACAAGCCGAAGGCAACTCCCGCTATTGGCACCAATGCCGACAAGCATCGACTAGAAGAAGAGATAATCATGCTGCCGGCCCAGATCCACCGAGCACGTCTAATACCCCGATTAGAGTCTACGACAAATCACCCGAGAAGCACAATACGCAGAGACAAGAACAGCACTTACATACTCCATCCAAGGCACATTTCGAGACCGGTCCACCTGTCGCGACCTCTCCTCCCACACCTTGCCCAGGATCTCTGTCATAGCGACATACTGAAACCCCGTCGTCCGCTTGATCTCACCAATGCACAACTCCACGAAACCGCTGCTGGTGCGGCACGGACGTTTCAGCGCCCGCGATAAACAGCGGGAACAGGAGCCGCTTGAACCAGGGCGATGCTGTGGGGATGCTGGCGGCTGCGTCGAGGATCCCCACAACTGACGCTGCGATCGTTGGGTCCTCGCATGGAATCCGCCAAGTGTCGGGGAAGCGTAGGACGCGGATGATACACGTGTGGCGGTACGCTTCAGCCAGGGCCTTTTGGTCAGAACCTAGGGCAGCTCTCTTCTCGGTATCGGCGTCCCAAGTTCGAAAGAATTGTTCCGCGGCCTCCAGGATGTGCTCAAACTCGGACACAGATAGCGTTCCGGCCAAGTATTGTTGACCAGAGTTGATGACCCCGCTGATGCGGTAGAAGAGCTCGCCGGGGCGTCCGATCGTTTCGGAAAGGCTGATGTGGTCGACTGAGTACAATTTAGTATCACTGGGTTCGACAGTGCTTGTCAAGGGCCAGCTACCAGGAGTTGAGGCATCCGAAATGGTGTGTTGACCAGGGCTGAGGTTCTCAGCACGTTGATGTCGTTGTAAAGACGGCTCCTCGAGGATGATGTATCTTGGAGGGTAGCCTTCGCACGGGAGACCTTTGGCTTGACCCCTCCGGTTGCATCTGGTGAAAACAGACAGGTATATGCCCTTTCCGGTTGAAGGGTTCATACCCGACCAATGGTATAATATCGTTCACCTTTCCCATCCTTCCCCATCCTTGCATCTGCTGGCGTCGCTTGGATCATGTGTTTCATAGCCTCCCTAGATTCCGGCGCACTGTTGTGGATCTGCTCCGTGGCGATCGGACCGGTACTTATAGTAACTACACTCTCTGCAGTCATTCCTCGCGACTGACTTAACTTGGTGGCCCAGAAACGAGTCAGTTAACTACTCTACCCCACGATGAGCTGCATCGGCAGAAAGCTCCAAGCTATCAGTGATACTCACGGCCGCACCGCGACGTCCTAGCTCCGACGCAACTCCGGCTCCAATGGACCTTCGGCATCACACTATCAGTAAGGTCTTCTCAGTAAGAAACACGAGAGTCATGATGCCCGGAAGAGCCAGTCACAATGGCAGTTTCCCCAGTCAAATTGGCGAGAGGCTGGGTACTTGCGTACGGTTGTCGCGGGAAGGCATTCTCCTTGCGTGAATGCTGAGAGATCCTCACTTGTTCTTCCCTGATACTTATATCATGCCTCACTTCGATACAAGCTGTTCCTGCTGCTCTGCCATCGATTGAAGCCATCCCCAGAATTGGGGCTACAGCACTGCAGTGGGAGGCATTGCCCAGTTGGGAAGTATGCGCCGCACCTCCCCCGCTCCCATCAACCATTCCCGAAACTCCCCTAGTTTGATATCTAAGCGCTGTCACAGAGGCGAACCTGACGTGACAGGACAGCGCATTTCCCTTTAGGTCCAGCTGCATACGTACTTTTGTTGCTGCAAGCCGCATCGATAGCGATAGATCAAATTGTTGATCCTGGGAGATTACGATGCGAACCGCGGGAAGGGAAGCTGGGTGCGCATAAGACTGACTTTAGGCTTGGTTTGGTATGATCACCTTATCGAGAAACTAAGTTCCCTTGCTAGGAGGGCTTAGTAACCACAAACTGACCTGAGCAGACTCTTTGCATAGTGACCTAACCACTGTTATTATCGTGTATATACACTCTCCACAAGTCCTAGAGACCCTGACTAGAAATCCGTCGGTCGCCCATCTTCCTTCAACTCCGGGCGCAGGTGGTAGATCGGATCCAGCTGCTCGACCCAGCCGCACGCCGGCTCACTCATCGTATACCCCATGTACTCCTGGACCTCGCGGTCATAGCTGCGGGCGACATCGGCCGGCACGGCCAGGAACTGATTCTCCTCCTGGCGCAGGTAACCCCGAATGATGAAGGTGGCGAACATCAAGCGTTTTTCGTCTTGGGTGACATTGGCGCCTCCGCCGTGGTACGCGGACGCCAGCATGATGAACCCATCGCCTTTCTCCATGTCGGCGTAGATACACTGCTCCACTTTGGGGGCAGTCGTCCGGTCGGAACCCCTGATGAATTAGGGCTGTCAATGTTTAGGCCCGGGCGCGGGCAGGATTCGAGAATGCTTACCATAGATGGCTCCTCGGGATGAACGCCGTGCCCCCGTTCTCCTTGGTGACGCGGCAGCCGGCCACGAACAAGCCGACGGAGGCCTCGCGCTCGGCGTCGCGGACATCGTCCCATTGCCCGATCTCCTGGTGCCAGCGATGGCTGATGTAGTCGTCCCGGTGCAGGGGCTGGGCCGTGCCGCCGGGCCCGATGCGCATCGCCACGCAGGAATGCACGTAGGGCTTGGACACGGAGAGTTTCTTCTCGTCGCCCCACCAGTACCATCGGCGGGAGGTGAGAAAGTGGTCGCAGACGGCGCGGAAGAGTGGGTTCATGAGCTGGGTCTTGGTGTAGGTCGGGCTTCTGGCGATGAGAGATGGAGCCCGTTGGGTTTGTGCTGGAGGTGGTGTCAGTATCGTTCCTTTTTTTTTCCTTTTTCTTTTTTTTTTTTCGCAATTGCCAAGGGCTTGCCTGGAAAGAATGAACCGTTCCATTCGACATCCTCGTCCAGTCGCGACTTGACCTCCTCATGGGCTTGGTCGACGTCACCCTCGGGTATGAGGTTCTTGATGAAAACCCCGCCGTCCCGCTTGAGCAGATACACGATCTCTTTAAGTGGGGTGTCTTTGGGCACTTTCTGGACCTCGTCGCTGTACTTGGAGGGATAGAAGGACATGGTGAAGATTGATGGGGGTGTCGGTTGCAATTGTCAACATGATGATCAACCAACTCGAGCCATGACTATCACTTCATATAAATGGATGTACCGTACGTAGTGGCGTGTAGTGCACAGTGCACAGTAGAAGCGACGAGCTCCCGATAGGCGCCGCCAAGGATTTGGGGGAGTTGATCTGGACTCCCTGGCGACCACGGATTCACTGTCCAAGCGAGTGGCCTCGTTGCCCAAAATGGGGAACTCGCCAATGGGCTTGTCCCCAATAGGAAATGCTTTCAACTGCTAACAGACCTCTTATCAAGGCTATCACCCCACTGGATGGGTCGATCCGAGGTCGTGCCGCATCGTGCGGGGTTGGGGGTACGAAGAGGACGGTTAAGCCTGTTCCTGGATGCTGTGTGAGTATCCCAGTTAGCAAATGGAAGGGCATCACTGGGATAATGGCAACGATTGATGCAGGCAATCTCATTGTCTGGTCTGTGTCACTCATTATCACAGTGAATCCCTGCTTGACCCCTTCTTTCAACACTGGACACATCACTTTACTAGCTTCAATTAATTGTGGGGTCAATTGCTATATTCGGGGAGGTCATATCGGTGCCTTGGATAGTTGAGCCATTCCCAACACTAGAAAGGATGAGCCAAGAGTTGAAGATCATAATCATTAGGAGGTCCGATGATCAGACTCCCATCGGTTGGGCCTTTGCGTTCCATTGCGAAGTATACCGTTCTCACGCTCAGAACAATTCTTGATATGAGTGACGTCATGGTGAAGCCTGCGCGGAGTATCGGTGATTTAAGGCATTTTGACTTCGAATAAGGGTCTCTTTTGCAATTGGCTCTTCGAAGAAATCAGGAATCCATCTTGCCTCGACCAGTGTTGCCTCATTGGCATTACTGACTTATTGTGTAAACTACTGTGGCCAAGCACGCCTCAATCAGGGATTATTCCAGTTTGTTGGAAACCATTCCCGAGTGGGCAATCATCTCAATATCCTATCACTCACCCACGCCCTTACCCCGGTCGCAGAAGCTGCAAACTAATGCAAGAGACTCATAGGATGGCTGGCTATGTGATTCGCTGGCGTAAGTTGATCCAAATCAAGAGTAGGCCAGCGTACCTTGATTCAAGGTTGTGTCCCACCGACTGCCTTGAAGTCATCCATACCATGTATACTTCAGCACCCGGAGAAAGGTAGACTTGGTATATAAGTCTAGCAACGGCTTGGAAATCTCTGGAGTAATGCCAGTTTCACCGAAACTTTCTCCGTACACAATACATACGCCCCTCCACTGCCTAATACCCATATTGCCAGAGCATCCGCGGGTTCGTGCCGAGGTGAAGAAGCTCAAACTACCCGAGGGGTGAGCAGCGCTCTCTGGCCAAATCATGCCCTCTCCGCTCCAATTATACAAGGTATGGCACATAAAATCTGACAACCGCAGGGCATCGGTGGTCAACGACCCTTGGCTGTACGGGACTGACAGTCCCGATGTAACCCGTCGTCTCTACCAGTGCTACATGTACGCTGTCCTCAATGATGATCCGGAAGCGAACCACTACTCTCTCCCCATGGCGTTTGCGCCCATCTTCGACGCTCATACCGCCGAGCTGGTAGAGATCGAAAGGCTGCCACGAGGAGCGGGGGCGGAGCTCGATCAGGAGACGGTTCCCTGGGACGCCGTGGAGCCAGTCGAGTACAGCGAGCGCCTCTTAGGCAAGCCCTATTTCCGACAGGACCTAAAGCCGCTCCATGTCGAGCAACCGGAGGGTCCACCATTTCGCATCGACGGACGCCAGATCACCCGGCAGAAATGGTCGTTCCACCTGGGATGGACGGTGCGCGAAGGACCCGTGCTCCACAACGTCTTCTACGACGGCCGGTTGCTCTTCCATCGAGTCGCCATGAGCGAGATGACCGTCCCGTACGGAGACCCGCGGGCCCCGTACCGTCGCAAGCAGGCGTTCGACCTGGGCGACACGGGCTTCGGCCTGACCTCCAACACCCTGGCCCTGGGCTGCGACTGTCTCGGCCAAATCGCCTATTTCGACGGGATCCGCACGACGGGGACCGGCGAGCCCGTCGAGATGAAGAACGTGATCTGCATGCACGAGGTGAATGAGGGGATTGGCTGGAAGCACACCAACATGCGCAACGGCCAGGCGTCGACGGTGCGCAACCGCACCCTCGTCATCCAGTGCACGGCCACCGTGATGAACTACGAGTACATTCTCGCCTTCGTGCTGGACCAGGCCGCCAACCTCCATGTGGAGGTCAAAGCCACGGGCATCATGTCCACCATGCCCATTGCCCGCCACACCTCTTCGCCCTGGGGCACCGTCGTGGCCCCCGGCGTGCTGGCCGTCAACCATCAACATCTGCCCAACCTCCGGATTGATCCCGCTCTCGACGGCACCGGCAACACGGTCGTCTACGACGACGTTCTCCCCGTCCGCGACGACCCCACCCTCGACGACCCGCAAGGCTGCGCGTTCCGCAGGACCACCACCGCCATCACGCAGCCCGGAGGCTACGAGCTCAATCTCGCCGCCTCCCGAACGTACCGCATCATCAACCCCAACCGGACGAACGCCATCTCCGGAGAACCAGTGGGGTACCGGCTGCACGCGTCCCCGAGCCAGATGCTCATCATGGGGCCGGAGACCTTCAACTCCCGCCGGGGACGGTTAACCACCAAGCCGATCTGGGTCACGGACTACCGCGACGAAGAACTCTACGCGGCCGGGGAGTTCACCAACCAGAGCACGGACGACACCGGGCTGGGGGTGTGGAGTCAACGCCAGCAGTCCGTGGAGAACGGGGATATCGTGCTGTGGCACACGTTTGGCACCCCGCACATCACCCGTCCGGAAGGTATGTGTGCTGCCGTTTGTTTATCTCGGGGACATTTAGGGATTGCTAACATTGGCTCAGACTTTCCGGTCATGCCAGTCGAGAAGATGGTGGTCTCGCTCAAACCGACGAGCTTCTTCGAGTTGAACCCGTCCAACGATGTTCCGCGCTCAAGCCAGATCCTGAGTCGGTCCACGGTTGTTGAGCACCATAAGGTGGCACCTGAGCCTTGTGGGAAGGGTGCTCTGTAAGGAACGATGGAGATGCAATAACTGGGGTCAATTGGTGAACTTCATGAGCCGACTCCAGCTCAAGACAGGCCGGGACTGAAGCTCACACGATCCTGCTGTGTGACGGAACGCATTTTCATGAAACAGAGTCAGAAGGGAGAGATCGCGTAAATTTGTCTGGGTTCATTGGCTTGATGGCCTCTACACGGAGCGAGCATGCTGACTAGAGTGAGACATCAATGCGAAAAGAACTCAGCATAGATTTGCAATGTGTATGGTCAGCCGATGCGATGGTTGAGTGGAGTAGATCCAGCCCTTTCTTCAGTAGGGGTTGTAGCTGCCATGTGGGTTGTAGGAAAGCTACTATTTCGTGTATACCGCGTACCACGTGGAAACAGGCAACAGCAACGAACCTCATCCGCTCAAACTACCTTACCTAGTGCCATTGCATCGAGCACGCCGTCAACAGCAAATCAGGTCCCGAAGTTATCCATGGGTTGCACAATGTAACCACCAAGGTTGGTTCGTTTGGTTGATTTGCGAAAACAAGGAAACACCGTCGGGCGACGTGGGCCTTTGGTTCATTCCCCTATGTAGAGTTGTGGATAGCAAATCCTCGTCTCAGATGTTCTCATTTCCACCTTCCAAGACCTGATGCATGGACGAATGGAGATCTTTGAGACAGGACGAAACCAGCCACCTTCTGCGTCAGGGTGCATGTCTCCCTATTCATCGAGCGATAGCAAGGAGCCACCCTCACGCTGGAAGCATACTGCACGAGCGAAATCCCGCAGTCAGTCCCAACAGCATTTTACCAGATTCGGATAGCACAGCGAACCCGAATAAATTACTGTCATTTCCTGATGGATTCGCCAAGCACGTAAGCGCTGAGCCCTATGCTAAGCAAGGTAAGTCTTTGCCTCGGGGACGGACTCCGTTCTTTCCCTGCAGGATGACTGATCCGGCTCAGCGTCCCAAAGTCCTACCTCTCCTGCAGCAGACCAGTCAGACTTGTGGCTCAAAAAGTACGGTACGTTGGACTGAGTTGACCACCAGTCCTTACCGCTTCAGCCGCACTTGGCAGAGGCACTTGAGGACAACTGTGCTTCAGGAGATGCACGTTTGCCGAGGTGCTTGGAACGTTGCTTGGTTTGAAGAAAGCAGCCTTGCGTGCCTTGGCCGTGAGAGTGAAACAAGGGGTGCAGGTGAGGGCTCATGCGTTCGATAACCGAATCTGCTCTGGCCTCCGCTGGGGTACATCCGGCGCATTCCACGTGGCCTTTGCTTTTGGGAAGCGACGAACCAATTTGCCTCGTGGCAACTGAGAGGGCCACTATGAGTTGGACGCAGGATATACCGACTGGATGCTGCTAAGCCACAGCCTGCAATGCGACAACGAGGCCGTGGAATGTAAAACTGTGGCTGCGCGGCGTGCTTACACATAATCTGATAATCTGCGGATGGGCTATGTTCAACGGGAGAACAGATGACCAAGTCACAGCAGAAAAAGCAAAAAGGAGAAAAGGATCCTCCATCGGAGACGGACCGAATCCAACTCAGCAACCCCCCCC